CATGCTGATATAGTGGGTAAAGGAAAGCACTAATTAGTTGGGTGTACGCTTCTGGACGATGTGGCATATATTATATGAGTAAATATTATACAAAGTTGGTGTAGCCACGTTATCCATCATATTGTTCTCTACACGCTCAATGCACGTTTTCTCTCGTGCTGGAACATGTGTAAATCACCCGTCCAGAAAACTATTGCTATATCTTTGTAATGGGCAGACGTCTCTGTCGCACAAGGACCAGTTAACGACATAATTTAGGAGCACATGCAAATCTAGCTAGGAAGAGGATGATAGTAAACGGAACGTTGTCGCGGCAATAATGAACCAAACTATTATGTTCAAAAAAAATGATGAAAAAAAATAATGAACCAAACTTGTATTAGCGGTGGATTACGTGGCCGTTTAGGAGAGTTGTAGCTTCAGCTTCCGAGGAGAATCACTCACAGCCAACTAAACTATCAAAATGCCAACAAATTCATATGGGCTTTAACAAAAAATCACATCTCCATTTACACTACGAGTTGGGAGTAAAAAAACCCACTTCACCTTGTTCCTGTTATATTCAGCTAAAAAAACCTACTTCACCCTGCTCCCTGTTATATTCTGATGGGATCAGAGAATCAATTCTCATCAGCTCCCCACCATGCACCCTCCTATGAATGCAATGGAATCACTCCAAGAAGCAGAGCTAAAGAATCAGAGAGCTTCACCCTGTTCCCTGACCTACTTCTTACCCTGCTCCTGTTATATTCTGATGGGATCAGAGAATCAATTCTCATCAGCTCCCCACCATGCACCCCCCTAGGAATGCAATGGAATCACTCCAAGAAGCAGAGGTAAAGAATCAGGGGAGGAGCTCTCCCAAACGGGGCTTGTGCTTTATAAATTGCTTGTGCTTTATAAATTGCTTGTAAATACAGCTCTCCGGTCTCAGCTTGTGCTTTATAAATTGCTTTGGCACGATAGACAACGTTTTCTCCAGCGCGTGATGTTGGAGCAATAGGAATGTCTGATTACATCAAACTAAACCAAAGTAATAGAAACCACAAAGTAGCTGAGCTAAGCAGAACTGTCATAACTACAGTTACAAGCGTTCAATTAATTATGAAAGAACACAGCTCCAAGCTGCAGGCATCTGGCAGAGGCAGACACACACAAAAAGGAGAAAACTCTCGACTGCTGAATGATAAAACCACCGGGCGTTGAGTGGGGAGAGTTAGATACTAATTACCAGTTCTAAGCGAGCAACACATTTACCAGCAGTTGATAGATGTATGAATAAAGGTCTCATACTATAACCCTTGAAATGGAATCAAGCAGAAATTTACTCTCAGCCGAAGGATCCATCCTCTCCACCTTGGCCACAGTGTTCTTCACTCGTCGCTCATCGCCGTATTGTTCTTCTTTCACTTTTAGCCTCAACAAATAATTCTGATACAAGCAATGGATCAAGACAGCTGTGTAGTGAGGATCTTCGTTCTCTTTAAACATGTTGAGCTCTCGCGCTGAGCAACCAAGTAGCTCCTGTCCAGCCTCTTGAAATGCTGTCGCAGAAGTTGTTCCCGTGTGATCTTGAATGTTCAACTGCAGGAGATACCTGTAATCACACTCTGGAAACTCTTGATTGCACTTGTCACATAGCCAGTTGCCTGAATCAGACTTTGTCACCTTTTTACCACATTGCCTGTCTCCAACCACATTGGGGCAAGCTGTGTAGCAGAAGGGGTCGGTTTTGATGAATGTAACAGCAGCCTTCACCGTGACCCAATCGGGTTTGTCCCCCATTCCAAGACCATCATCCTTTATCTGTGCTATTGTCTTTCGGATCTCATTCCTTGATGCTGAAGGAGTAAAATCCCTGGATATGGACTGAGTAGAAGCATCTCTTCCTCCACAATCAAACCACTGCCTGAGAGAATGAGCCTCAGCAAGATCAGGGTTTATGAGGAGTTGAGATGAAGAAATTGTGCCAACAGACTTCCCACTGTAATCATTGACTTTTCCAGCTTTGACAGCCAGTACAGGAAGCGCCCCGCATTCAACCATTTCTTGCAGCTGCAAGCCTTCTCTATTGCAGAAGTCACCCCACATGGTAAGCTCAACACTTCGACCAGACATATCCTTCAGGGTGATGGTCCTTTTCTGAGCTTCCATACCATTTTTCCTCTGTATTGTAGTACTAGGGTTGACAGATGTAACAACACCAATGACATCAACAATAGCATTGTTCTCTGAATCTTCAATTTTATCAATAGATGAGAAGCTAAACCGCTGGGCAGGAATAGAACTGTTCTCATCAAGACAAAGTTCAATAGTTGACTGAAACTCCAAGAAAATCTCCCACTCATTATTCAGATGGTTGTAGTCCTTCTTTGCGGGTTTCAAGTTTCCTCTAGATACCACATAGACCTTACCAACTTCCACAACTTCATAGAAGCGATCAACAAGAGTATTGAAACATGTAGCCCGAATCTCACCACCATCAGAATCAAGCAGGTCAAAAGAGAACACTTTGCCATCACCTTTTGCATTATGGTACCGGCGGATCTCTCCTTTGGCAGTTACTCGACCCTTGATAGCCCAGCGGCCCTGATAAGGATTTAGAGCAGATATGGGGATTATTCTAGCAGGAGCATCGTTTTTCATGATTGTGCCATGGTTTCTGTACTTGGGTGCAGGGCGATAGGATGGCTGTACTGTTGGTTGGAAGACCTGTGCATTGTCACTAGGCCTAGGGACCATGTTCAAAGAGTTCCCTGCCATTGATCTCTGGATTACTTGAGCATTGTCAGAGGGCCTTGCCACTTTGTTCAAAGCACTCCCTGCCATTGAACCATTTTGAGGTGCTCCATTAAACTGGTCTGCTCTCATGGAATTAGAATCTCCAGAATCAGGAGGTAGTGCTGGATTTCCAATAATCTCACACTCTGCAGCAAGAACCTCCATGTTCAGAATAACAATAGCCCTGTGATAACAATCAGCTTATCAGAAGAGCAAATAGAAACCTGAAAATCCGTGCATAACCACAGGACAAGAAGTAAAGTACAATGATCAAATCCCATCACATGATACAGTCAACAAACTAGAACCTGACTCCAAACATGACAGCTGCCTAGCAAATATTCAATTCATAACAAAACGAAGGCATTAAAACTGCATACAGGAATGCCTCACCATTCAAATGGACATAAGTGGTCACTGACCATTAGTCACAAGGCCAGATACCGGAGCACAGAGATGCTAGCTTTTTTATCATGAAGAAATTTCTAGTTGATTCATGGTTGGTGAGCGCCAATTTGGTTAGAAACATAACCATTATCCCAAATTATCCTATTCTGAATAAAGAAATTAAGAGGCAAGTATAAACCGACATCAGCTGGACAGCTAGATACCAAACTATAGACATGCTATGATTTCATCATGAAGAAGAAAATTCTGATCCATTCATTGCTGGTGAGCACCAACTTGAACATAACTACTATGATGGTTTAGTCTATTCTGACAAAAAAATTAAGAGGCAAGTATAAACTTAATTCAATCAGCAACCCCGTTCATGAGGACCAATTAAAATGATGGCGCAAACAGATCCACTGAACCAAACATTTAACGGAATGCATGAATACATACACAGGCAATACATACATATAAGCCAACAGCCAATCAAACAGAATGCAACTCTCACGCACCAACTAGATGGAACTAACAAGCACATAATCGCAGGTACCGAACAAATTGGACCCAATTTCGTATGCCTCGCAGGCCTGAACCCTAAACCAAACCCACTAAAGCGCACGCAAATGGAACACACATCGATCCAGTCGGGTGGGAGGGGGGAGGCAAGGAGAGGAGAGATATACTTTCTGTTCCGGACGTCGTTGACGATGTAGTCGAGGAGCTGGACGACCGAGCCGCGGCGGACGACGCCGGAGCGCGCGAGGTCGCAGAGCTGCGAGGCGAAGAGCGCGTGCCCCGTGGCGACGCCATCGGAGATGATGGCGCGGAACCTGGGCCCGGAGCCCGGGGCCCCCCCGGTGACCGCGATGCTCCGGAGGTCGACGACCTGCACCACCGGCTTGAGGTTGGTGTCCCCCGCCATCGCCGCCGCCACGGCGTTGCGGGTCAGCTTCGCCTCCGCCATCGCAGACTCGGAGCGACGGGGACCCTACCCACCACCTCCTCCTCCTCGATCTGTGGGAGCGGTTGGACGGCAAGCGTGCGGGACGAGGAGGAAATTGATTCGAGCGTTCGAGTGCTAGAGGTGGGGGCTGAAATGAGGGGCAGAAGTACGGGAAACGGGGAGAGGCGGTTCGGTGGCGTCGCGGTTTCTTCTGGAGGAAGGAAACGTCACACGCTGATGGCTGATGCTTGGATAGAACTAGCCGTCGGATCGGAAGTACGATGGGCGCATCGAACAGCTGGTATTGTGCGATGACGTCACGGGTGCGCAGGCTGCCGCTCTTCTGGACCGAGCTACAGTAGACAGTGGAAGGGGAAGGCTGGAAGCCGGTGCGGTGAGAAGTGAACTCCGGCAACTATATATCGACCATCGACCCAAAAAAAAGTTGCTCTCTCCGTGTAAAAGAGAATGAGCTGCTACTACAGTCTTGGTGATGTGGAAGTGGAACCTAAAACAACAGAGTCGTGACTTTCTAAGCATCGATCATGAGCATGCAACAAATCCTGAGCCCTGAATACGGGGCGTGTTTGATACCCTGGTCTGACGGCCAGACTGTTTGTTTCGGCTAAAAAGACCGTGAATTATTACTTTGACTTGATTTGATGTGAGAAAAAATATTATTCTGACTTATAATCAAGATCGTTTCAAGCGAACAGGCCCAGTACACCCTCCGGCTGCAACCCTCTTGTTTCATGTCCTAGGCCCACCATCGGGTCAGGCCAGATGCGTGCAAAATCCCTTCTCTTTTCTGGCTCCGGGGAAACGACGTCCATCTTCGTTTTTTTAGGCGGCGTCGAGTTACCTCCCGGTTGGGCTGAAGCACTCACGGTCTCATCCACCGCTCCCGGTCCTTCGTCACCGACTCCCTTCTTCTTGGACGCCGAGGCCGGCGGCGGCGCGACGCTGGGGCCAGGGCCGAACGCGCGGCCGCGACCCTCTTCTTCTTGGACGCCGGGGCCAAGGCCGAACGCGCAGCCGCTCTCCGCCAGGCCAGGCTCCACCTTGCAGACCCCGAGGCCCACCGCGGCGCCGCCGTCGCCTTGGGCTCCACAACGTCAAGGAACCCCATCTCGCCGCCGTAGTCGCCGTCATTGGGCCTGCCGAACGCCGCGGCGGCGCCGTAGACCTGGTGCGCAAGGACCGGGTGCTGCTTGTGGAGCCGGTGACCGTGGTGGCGGAGCCGAACCCAGTGGCGCAAGGACCTAGGTCGCGATATCTCGGGGAAGCGGAGCCCAGCCACGCCGCCTCCTCCTCTCGGGGCACGCGGGGACCGCGCGACGTGATGGTGGAGACGGGCGTGGGGAGGCTCCACCAGCGCCGGGGCGCGGTCACCTTCGTCGCGGCCAACAAGCCGCTGCTCGCCGCCGCGTGGGTCGTCGGGTTTGCGCTCGTGTTCCTGTGGCAGAGCGCCTCGATGTCCTTCGGCAGCGCCGGCGCCGCCGCCGGTGACGGAGGGTTCCTCAAGCTCCCGTTGGCGCATGGCGTGCACGTGGGCCTTCTCGGCGCGCTGCTTCTCCTTGCCGCTCTGCCTCGTCTCCTCCCTTCTTCCTGGCAGACTCTATGCGTGTTCGACATTACTGAGAGGAGAGAGCAAGTGAAGGATGGGTGGGTGGTAACGCTACCATTTCCTTGATGCAAGGTAGCCAAATCAAACATATCCCTATCCAGTCTGGCTCATTTGGTCCAGTGAACCAAACACGTGAGACTGCACCACGTGAGCCGGGCCTAAGCTGGGCACAGCCAAGCCAGCCGGCCGTGCCGAGCAGGGCAGGAAATCAAACACGCGCATGATGTCAATCGCCTCTGCAAAATACACAGTACCGAACCCAAGGAACCGATCGGTTTCAAACTCTCAACAGCACCAGCTCTGCTAGTAGCTTTCGCGTCAACAGCACCTGCCCTGCTAGTAGCTTTTGCGTCTCACCAAACTCAAGACTCTCTGAGATTTTGGACAATGAAGAATGAACTCATCACCAAGACTGTAAGAACTCGACAGAGTCGGGGTTTAGGCAGATTGGGAGAACTGTATGTTTACTGAACAAATGGAGTCAATATAATGAAGCTGTTAAAGCAGTTTTTCAGTTCTTCCGATCCACCATTTTCATCGGTGCATTGCACAAACCAGAAAGCGATTACCACGAGCATCGACTGGTGTATCACGTGTGGAACAGTATTGGGCAGCATTGGTAGAATCGTTGGAAGGAGAGAAAAATGTTTTGGTGTAGATGAAATATGCATAAGCTTTATAGAGAGATTTACAGTGTCTGACTAACACTAAAACTTTACAATAGCCATGCAGAATGGTCTCATTTTTTTTTTCCATTTGGCTGCAAGTTCAGCCTTAGCCCCATGCTGCTGATAAAGCATAATTTACCACCAGTTTCCCATCAATTCCAAAGTTCTGCAGCGTAATGTAAGAAGATTGTTAGCTGCCTTCTTTGGTACAAACAGAAGGAATCTAAACATAAGAATTGTAATCAAGGCCAGAACTTTAGGTGGCCACTATTTCCAGATGAAAATATACTAAATCAACAAATTATTAAGCAGATGTAATAGACATGAATCTAACAGGCAGGAATGGATATAATAAACGTGCCAGGACTCACGGTGGTTGATATTTCCAGATGAAAACGTATGCAAATCATGAGCAGACAGTTTGGAAGAGGGGAATGCTCTATGGATTTTAAGTATAAAACCTTGCTTCATCATAAGACTAAGGCCCCAAGTTTTTTTTTTATCCCAGACTTTGTGTATAGAGCATAGAACATATATGGAAACAAATTACTAAAAGAAATTCAGGTTTTGATGTTGCAAGTTGTAACAAAGTGGTACAGATACATATCGAGATAGCATAACGAACAAAATGTAAGCATAGATATCAATTTCCAAGGTAAAACTTTGTACAAGCACATATAAGTTAGAATCTTACATTATACAAGTCAATTACCAGTTCATCCGGGTTTGGCGAAAACGCACTGTTGATATAGACAAACTGTTGGCAACACAGACAACAACTCAGTAAAATTCCATTGTCACAGATTAAATTCTCATAGAACTAACAATTATGTTCCTACCAGTGTATCTTGATGAAGTTGTCGGCGAAGAAACTCTATGACCTTCAAAAACTTATCTCGTCCTGAAATCTGGTACGAGATACATGAATAACAGCTTAATCAGGTTCAAGGTGTGAAAACAAAGGAGAACATCACTTAAGCCAATTTCAGGGACAGACCGCAGTAATAAGCTGATGACAGGATTTAACGAAATCAACCACTTGAACTAAATCATTGTGCCAAGGTTTACTTAGTGACATACTGACATGAGGCAAAGATCATGTCTACAGGAGTAACCAGATTAAGATAACAGTGACTTTTTCACAAAAGAGAAAAATAAATACTACCAATAAGAAGCATTTAAGCAACTACTAGTACATGGAACTCACTCTCTCTTAGTAGTACACGACACAACATATATGAATCTAGTTATTTCCTCGCATTCCCTTGGTGAACTATGTTAAAAATAACCAAGCACTCAAATTTGTAGCGAAAATCAGTCTCCCCCTCTACAACCAATACAAGATTACTGCAATGTATACAATCTAAGAATTCTCATACTGACTCCACATACTTGGCGATGCATGTTCCTGAATTGCTGGTCTTTTGTCACTAATGTGAGCAACATGTTATAATAAACCATGAAACCTGTGGTATGGATCGACAATTCAGACTTAATAGTTTCTGTTCATTGGAGATTGATAAACTGAAACATCTCAAGTTCATGGGTTCACTATCAGCACATGCATCGCCAAGTCAAGTGCATCAAATATTTTCAGCAACTATATCTCCCCCCCCCCCACACACACACACATGTGTGTGTGTGTGTGTGTGTGTGTGTGTGTGTGTGTGTGTGTGTGTAAGCATCCGCTTGGAAGAGAAACCCCCAATTATCAAGTCGTATCGCGAAACCCTACCTTCCCAGCTATACGGGGAGTAAACAGATCTTGAACTGCAAGCGGAAACAAATAATTGGGCCAAGGGAGGACGGAACTCGCACCTTGAATTTGGATTGCTTCAGGATCGGCGCATCACCTGTTGACCGCACGTGCACCACCACTGCAATCTCGTAGCACGCAGTATACAGGTCAGCACACGAAAGAGGACAAGAGGAAAAGGATAACAACTCACAAGGCATATAGAACGGGTAGCGGAAGTTTGCGCGGACCTTTCTGATCCGCCTCCGCGGCCATCGGGATCTCTCCGACGACAACAAGGTTACCACGAGCCGGTGGTTTCGTCGGCGGCAGGGCTCGACCAGAAAGTTTAACTAGGCCCTGTTCAGGGCAGCTTAAATTGCCCGCGCTTCAATTCGAAGCTGGTTTCCTTGGTACGGTGGCCGCCTTGCGAGGAGGGGGACGGCCGCTGGCGCTGGGAGGAGGAGCCCGGCGCCGGAGCCCGGAGACAGCGGAGTCGCGGGATGTCCCCTGCTTCGCCGTGCCCACGCCCGTGTTCAGGTCGGCCGTGCCTAGACCGTCTAGGCTAGACGAGTCCTCCGAGCGCCAAGACGGGCCTAGACTCCGATCCGCCGTGCCTAGGCGGGCCGAATCGCACACACATACCATCAGCAGTTCAGAACTCGTTTTGGCGTTTTGGGCCTTGACTGATTGGGACTCGTATAATAGCGGTGTGTGTGCGATTCGGCCCGTCTAGACCCAAGATTGACTTGAAATCAGCAGAACGCGCGTGCTGACACTACGAGCGCTGCAACTGCAATTCCCCCATATAATACACCAGTAGTTAGTCTCGAGGGTCAGCATAAAATCAGGGCAGATTGCGTGCGGCAAACCGAACATTTTATGTTTGATCCGTATGGATCAGTTGCTAATGGAAACTTTTACAAGCAAAACCCGAAGCGTGTGCATCGCTGACGGGGTGGCAGGCCTGACGACACTGTGCAAGTGTCAGTCGCAGCAGCATACGAGAACTGATGCTCACCTGACCTGGGCAGCAGAGCTCGTAGATACTGTACAGCCTCCAGATCTGGTGCGAGCCGGTTGGTACGACCCCCGTAGATAGAGAGGTTAGCGTCCGGTTCGTCTGGACTGGTTTGGCTTATAAGTTATGGCTGAAATTATTATTGACTGGTTTGGTGTGAGAAAAAAATACTATTCTTTAGCTAATAAGCCATGGCTTATAAGCCAAATACGAACAAGCGAACAGGCTGTAGTTAAACACCTGACACGAGAAATGCTGTCGCGAGCTCTGACATCACAAACCAAAGAAAAACCAGGTCACTGTACATCCCTGCAGGCCGCAATACAGTAATCCTACTATATACTTAACATCGGATCCCTTGAGAACAAAAAGAACACCAGTGCGTACAACCACACAAATGGCGGTTAACAATAAACTAACCCACGGCCGCAGGCAAGAATCTCTGAACCATAACACACCGACCTCGCCGCCGGTTTGTTTAGCAGCGCTGGTACGCCCGCGGCCACGTTGTAGGGCCGGTTATCCCGAGGCGTCTGTCAGGCGTTGCATGCCTCCGTCAAAGCACTGGGCCGCGAATAATCGGGCAATTAACATGTCTACTACCCACTTAGGATCGTCACTGCCTGCGCGTGACATTAGTTTATGCATACGCGCTCTGCCTGCCCTCTGCGAAAATATCGGATTCCTTGGTTGTCCACGTAGTATATAGCCTGTTCGGGAGGTCGTATCGTATCGTGGATTATTTACCGCTGGCTGGTTTAATGTGAGAGAAAAACACTGTTTCCAGCTGAAAATTTACGATCGTTTACGAACAAACGAACAACAGGTTGTATGTCACTCCGTGAGCACAGGTGATGATGGGCTCTCATTCGTGCGTGTTTGCTAGTAGCTGCTCTGTGCTCTCTCTCGCTGACTCACCGTCATGTTCAGTGTCCTGCACGCAGTAGTACTCTCTCTCTCTCCATAAAAAGATGTAATTATGGAACCGTACCAGTTAAACTAAAATTTAATCAACTTTATAGCAAATAATATTAACATTTATGTTTCTAAATAAATTTATTGTGAATATATATTTTAGAACTAATCTAATAATATTTATTTTGTATTATGAATATTAGTATTTTTTATATAAATTTAGTTAAAATTTAAATTACTTGACTTTTTGAAAAATAAGAATTGCATTCTTTCGGGACGGATGGTACTAGTACTTGTCCATCAACAAATAAAACTTGCATGGTCGAGGTAACTACTGGAGCCAGAGACGCTTTCGATCGCCTAGCTTTTCGCCACTGCCATAGCTGAGCAGGAAATACGTGCCGAGCTGAGCTTAATTAGCGCCCCCCTTCAAAACAGGTGAACCATCAGAGACACAATTCATCACTCCCACAACTAACGTGCCACGAGACGTGGCGCCACATCCACGCAGAGGCAGTTGCCCAGGTAAGGTCAGGTTAGGTCAGGCCGGGATGGGGGACACTGACAGTGAACAGTAATGCGGTCCGGCCCTACCTTGCCGCAAATGTAGTGCGGGCGATCGGCGAGCAGCTTTCCATCCGCAATAATGCGCCAACACGGCGGCACCCTCTCTCACAGGCACAGCCCACAGGCCACGGCGATGGAAACCCAGGCCAGATCGAGCAATCACAGCCAGCGAGAAGGGGACGTCTACCATTGCCACCGAACGTGGCGGGGGCCAGCCGGCTCGTGCACGAACCACGGCACCAGGTCTTCTACGCGAGCGAACATGTGGTAGCGTACGTACGCCGCGCGTGCGCTTCGGCATGTTTTTTTTCCGCCTCTCCTCCAGGTACAACTATAGTATCTATTTATGAACAGACATACATCTCACTCACATCTTATGTACATAAACAGACCCTACAACTACACCTAGATTCTAAGATCGCGACCTTGAGGAGATCACCGAAACCATCCAAGGCTCCGTACGCGACGGGTGCGCCACTATCCCTTTGTAGCTTCACGCGAGAGAGGCTGCACCTGTTAAATATGGGGAAACCCCGATGGGGATCGTGAGTCGAGCAGAGCTCGAACCCACGACCGGCCGCTGCACCACCAGGAGCGTTTACCGCTCGAGCTATGGCTCGATCCCCGCTTCGGCATGGTTTCGTTTCGGACGGATGGATGGATGCATGGGAAACTGGCGTGGTGGACTGCAGGTGGTTTCCTGCCAGGGGCTGGCACTGCATGAAGTGTAGAGGAGGCCAGCATACGTATAGCTTTCCAACCGTACCACGTCGATTGCGGATTGGCGTCGTCCGTCGCTGTGTCGACCGCGCGTTTGGCACAGGGTAGGTTGCACAGCACGAATACTCCGACCTTTCTAGGTTTTTTCTGGTTGATAGTACTATGAAATGCAAACTCAATTGAGCGACGGGTCTCGCGCTGCCTCCTCCCCTCGTCCACTCGCGCACTCTCGACGCCCTCCCTCGCACCCACAGCCCACGCGACGCCCGCGTCCCACTCACCCGCGCCCCAGCCTTCTTCCCCAACTCCAGCTAGGGTTCCGACGACCGGCGTCTCTCTTTCTTCAACAATTTCGGCAAGCATAGAAGGGGCCGCTTGGGGGGAGGTAGGCCGGCCAGGAGGTAGGGAAGGAGGCCAGGCGGTTCGGGACCTGGCGGCGGCGGAGGTGGCCGAGCCGAGGAGGAGCGGGGGTGTCTCGACGTCGCTGGTGAGCATGGCCATGGTGGAGCTCCGGCGAGAAGGGGAGGGGAAGAAGGCGGCCACCGCATGTGCTAGGGTCTCTGGTGAACCCTAGCGCCCGCGGTGGTGCGGTGGTCGCTGGCGGGGGAGAGGAGGGGCAGGATCGGCGGCGGCGGCGAGGGAGGGGTCGAGGACGAGTGTGAGAACGAGGTCTAGGTCCGGTGGTGGAGGGCGCAAGGAGGCGGCGGAGGAGGAGGGCCACAGGAGGGATAGACGCGACGAGGAAGAAGGGTCGCACGCTTAGCAAGGACGTGACGGGCCGCGGCATATCTTCGTCCATTATGGAATGCTGAGCTGGGACAATCTTTCATCAATTCAGGAGTACAAGCAGGGGTCATACATCTTTCATAACCCATGAGACAACTTTGCTCGCTTCGCCACCAGTAGTAAGGGCGCGTTTAGATCAAAATTTTTTTTGTGTTTTGGCTACTGTAGCATTTTCGTTTGTATTTGACAATTAGTGTCTAACTATAGACTAATTAGGTTCGAAAGTTTCGTCATGCGATTTCTCACCCAACTGTGCAATTAGTTTTTTTCGTTTACATTTAGCACTCCATGTATGTGCCGAAAGATTCGATGTGATAGATAATGTGAAAAAAAATTTGGGTTTTGGGGAAACTAAACGGGCCCTAACCATGGAGTAAGAGGAGACAAGGCCAGGTTTAGGACGTCAGGCAACATGCTAGTAGTACAAGTAGTACTCTCCTACAGTAGAACTGTCGCTAGAGCAGCAGGGGGCGGGCTACGCGGCTGAGCAACGTGTCAGTGGCGCTTACTACCGGTACTTGCGTCCATGACTCGCGAGGCTCCGAGGCGGGCAGCGCCGCAGCAGGCTGGCACCGTGTCGGGCAGACAGCAAGTGCAGGCTTTGAAGGCTGCCGCTGCTAGGACAGTAGTAGAGGCCACAGGCCCACAGCAGGCTACATCTACAGTACTAGCTCACCGTACAACAGCTGTGCGCATCCCTGTTCGCTGCCAAGCGAACAGGACTGCATGCAGATGCAGCAGGGGGCAGCAACGCCTGTGGTAAAAACTCGCGTACTACAGTACTCCTACTACTCCGCCACACCTGACACCTTGCCAGTGTCTCGGGCTGTGCACCCAGGACCAGGAGGCCGGTCGATGGACGATGGAGCAGCAATGGCGCTGCGGATGCCTTCGATTTCGTCAAGACTGACCACGGATCAGAGCTCAGCAGGTCTCTGCACGGCATGCCGGACTGCAACCCTGCATCTCTCGGCCCAGTTCCGTTTAGGTTAATGGGAACGGATCAAGTGAAGTCAAGAGAAACCAGGTGACTGTCTGAGCGCCTGAGGAACTTGGAAAAACTGCGGTTCCAAGCTTGCAGTCAAAGGTATGAACAGTGGAGACAAAGAGTGGCAGCACTAGCCACTGGGCACCTACTAGCTACTACTACTAGCAGTCAAAGATATGCATGCATGCAAGCATACATGTCAGTGGCAATGTTCATGTAAACTTATCAGCCAACTTGTCGGTTAGAATCTAGTCGTTCTGTTCGCTTGGCTTATAAGCC